AGAATTTTTTAATATTTATTTTTTAGTTCTCGGCAGATACAACATCTTTGTTGGTATGTGGTGCTGAGGATCGAACCCGGGCCCTCCCTGTGGTAGAGATTTTTTTTTTAAAGAAAGAGTGGGAGAGAGAGAGAGAGAGAGAATTTTTTAATATTTATTTTTTAGTTCTCGGCAGATACAACATCTTTGTTGGTATGTGGTGCTGAGGATCGAACCCGGGCCGCACACACGCCAGGCGAGTGTGCTACCGCTTGAGCCACATCCCCAGCCAGTGTTAGAGATTTTGATAGCCTGTTAACAGGCTTAATATTAATAACATTAATATTATTTATTTATTTTGTTAGTGGGCTAGGGATTAAACCCAGGCCTTGCAAATGCTGGACAAGTGCTCTACCACTAAACTACATCCATTAGCCCTTATCTGTGATTTAGACCAGGTAATTTTAGTTTATAGTTTATCATGTTTAAATATGTATTGGTTATTGGGGCTGGGGTTGTGGCTCAGCAGCAGAGCTCTCGCCTCCCACATGTGCGGCCCTGGGTTCGATCCTCAGCACCACATAAAAATAAATAAATAAAGTGAAGGTATTGTGTCCAACTATAACTAAAAAATTAAATATTTAAAAACAGTTATGTATTGGTTATGAATAAAATGAGTGCCCATAAATACAGCATTTACATACAAATATCATATTACTCCAATGTCTTTACCTAGTCCCGTGATTCATTCAATAGTATTAGAACATAATTGATCTTCATACAAGTTTTGTTTGGTCTACACATTGTTTATGAAAATCTTAAATTAGTTTTCATCAATTAAAAATTGGAAGATTGGGGGCTGGGATTGTGGCTCAGCGATAGAGCGCTCACCTAGCATGGGTGGGACCAGGTTTCCATCCTCAGCATCCCATAAAAATAAAGGCATTGTGTTGTGTCCATCTATACCTAAAGAATAAATGTTTAAAAAAAAATTGGGAGATTGCGTATGAAATCTGAATTTGTGACTTTTCTTTCCTTTTTTTTTTAATTATAGGGTCTCTCAACACTGTTTGCTTTTTACTATAGCAAAATTGGATGACTCCAAGAAATAGCTACTCTCTCCTTTCTTTAAGGGTTTAGGGGATTATATATAGCTTCCAAGTGGCCAGCTGTACTCAACTGCCTGGTTGGCCCCAGTAGGCATATTTATTCTATTTATATTCTTATTTTAGATTTAGACCATTCATATATCTGAGAATGAATTTCAGATTTGTTTAAAGCACCAAAATAAGTGTACATAATCAGGCTTATTTCCAAATTGAAAAATAGTCAAGGGTTTATTTATTTATTGTAGTGCTAAGGCTCAAATCCAGTGCCCTGTGCATACTCTAGGGGCAAGTTTATTATTTTTTTGGTGGTACTGGGGATTGTACCTTTCGTACCCTACCACTAAGTGACATCCACAGCCCTTTTTGTTTTTTTATTTTGAAAGAGGGTCTTGCTAAGTTTTTTAGGTTGAACTCAAATTTGTGATCCCTTTGCCTCAGCCTCCTGAGTTGCTGGGATTACAGGCATGCACCATTGAACCTGGTTTAGGGGTAAGGTTTTTATTATTATTATTTTTTAATATTTATTTTTTAGTTGTAGTTGGAGATGATACCTTTATTTATTCATTTATTTATTTTTTAATATTTTTTTTAGTAGTAGTGAGACACAATATCTTTTATTTACTTATTTATTTATTTTTATGTGGTGCTGGGGATCGAACCCAGTGCCTCACATGTGCTAGCAAGCGCTCTACCACTCAGCCCCAGCCCTAAGAGCAAGTTTGTTTTTTTTTTTAATTTTTTGATGTGTGGACCTTTATTTATTTATGTGTGATGCTGAGAATTGAACTCAGTGTCTCACACTTGCAAGGCAAACGCTCTATCACTGTGCCACAGCCTCAGCCCCCTAGGGTCAAGGTTTTAAGCAAGCAATTCACAGAGGAAAAACTTAATAATGCGAATGTGTATACACACAAAAAATTATATATACACACACATAAACACACATACATATATACACACGAATATATGAAAAGATGCTTAGTAAACAATGTTATTTAGTAATTTTTTA